TTGTGTGTGTGTGTGTGTGTGTGTGTGTGTGTGTGTGTGTGTGTGTGTGTGTGTGTGTGTGTGTGTGTGTGTGTGTGTAGGGAAGCCGCAGTAGCAGAGGAAGCACAATTGCTGATAACTACAATTATTATTTAATCTTTATGTACAAATCTGCAGTTTCATCTTCTGTCTTTGCCAGGTAGGATCTGTAAAGTGTGGCACAGAGCAATACAGTGAGTTTTTACCATCTCTTCTTAGATTTGAGAATATGGCAGTGGGACAGGAGGCAAGAGATTGCATCTGCTCTGGGGGGAAATTACCATGAGAGTGGCCAGAGATCCTGTACTGATGCACTGCCTCCTGGCAGAAACCAAAGGGATGGGACAATATGAACTGATACAGCCCTCCTATTCTACAAGGCTGATCTGGGGCACAGGGAATGTACATGGAAAAACAAAATACCTGTTGTGAAAACAGTGTCCAAGGCAAATTACTAACTGTTACCCAAACTTAATATTGGATGCCCTTTCGAGGACCCCAGTCCTGCACCCAAGGAACTGAACCATCTATGCTCTAGGGTAATATAGAAGTAGATTATTTTCCTTTGAACCTTCTTCCTTCCATCTCACTTCACCTCCTGGTCAATTTCTTCCCATCCCACTCAGTTACGAGCTAAATACTGCTGTCCTAACTTCAGTAGAATTCCCATTGACTTCAGTGCAGAACTTCCCATTGACTTCTAAGAGAGCAGGGTTCTTTATGAATTCACTGTATATTGAATTATTAACAATCTGAATCATTCTTACCAAAACAAAAAACCCACAATAAAAGTGAAATACTTTCCTTGTGGATGGTAATGTCTGCCAGAAAAGATCATTCCATTTCAAGGTACAAATAAAGAAAGTGATCAGAGAGCACCATCTTGTAACGGTACATGCTGGGGAGGGAGAAGATGCTCCCGATATATAATGTAAATTCAGGATTCAAGGCTGTTGTATTAAATTTAAGACAAATGGCTAGGTCTGTTGCCAAGAGAGCAGAGGTGCTATTTTCTGAATGTCGTGCTAGCTTCTTGAGTAAGGACATAGTGAAGGAATCGTGTTTAGTAATAGATCTTCCTGCCCTAATCTAATCTGTACATTTCAAATGGCATGCATCAAGATGATGATGAGCAAGGAACTGGGAGTTGGAATTCTAGGGTTCTGGTCCTAGCTTTGACCTTGGGCATGTCATAGAATAGCTCTCTGCCTCGTTTTCACCTTTAAATTCTTGCATCACTCCTCTGGAGGCCTGGGAAGCTCAATTCAGTCATGTTTTAAAGCGTTTTGAGCTCTTTGGATGGAAGGTGCTAGAGACTTGCGAAATATAATAGCCAAACCTTGCTGTTGTGGACGTTGCTATGAACTGCTTGATTGATGCTATAGTACTTTTATGGTTTTTAACCAAGTATCTCAAAGCTCATTACAAACACAAGGGCCAAACCTTCCTCCCTGATCAAATTCTTGCTCCTAACCCACTAGGCTTCTTGACACTCCAGTGAGTGTCCCCTGTTATCCCCATTTTACAGCGGAGGAAACTCCGAGGCCGAGAGCCATTCCATGACTTAGGCCTGGTCTACACTGGGGGGGTGTCGATGTAAGATACGCAATTTCAGCTACGGGAATACCGTAGCTGAAGTCGACGTATCTTATTCCGACTTACCTCCCATCCTCACAGCGCGGGATTGATAGCCGCAGCTCCCCCGTCTACTCCGCTGCCGCCGCTCGCTCCGGTGGAGTTCCGGAGTCGACAGGGAGCGTGTCTCGACGAGACGCGATATATCGATCCCCGATAAATCGATTGCTACCCGCCGATACGGCGGGTAGTCTGGACATACCCTTACAAGTGGTCATGCAGAGTCAGCAGAAGGGCTGGGAATAGAATCCAATAGTCCTGGGGCCTAGTGCCCTGCTCACGTCTCCAGACCATGCTACCTGTAATACGCTGTGACAAAAGGAAACAACTGAATGGACTTGAGTCTTGTTCAAAACAGATCCATGTCTGTGCCGGCACAGTGTAACTCTATACACACACTCTTGTTGCTGAGCTACATGCTGAGGACTTTTGATGGCTGCTGTGGGGAAATGCGTCCAGAATGTCATGAAATGTTGAAACATGATGCAGCCACTGTTTGTCTTGAACCAGGGCTGCCCGCCTCCCTTCTCCTGTTCCACTATCTGCATATGCAAATTTTCCATCACCGACTGGCTTCCATAGACTCCCTTCTTCCTCCCCTTCCAAGCCAAGAATCATGAATAATTAACATTGCAGCTGGCTTTTGCCTTCATGGCAGACAGTCCGTTGGAAACCATGCCAGCAGTGCATTTGTTTCCCTTTTCTGACCTAGTCAGTGGTAACGTCCAGTATTTGAGTACACAGGCTGCTTCCAAAAACATTGGCTTCCCAAGGTCCTTGGGATCCAAGCATTTTGAGTGCTGTGAGGGGCTTTATAGCTTTGATGGGAGTGAAATAGCCAGCGGACCAGATTCTGAGCTCATGTAAGTGGGTGTAGCTGCCGTAGAATTTTTCATGGGAGTTGCACCTTACAGCAGGAGTGAATTTAACCCAATAGCTTTAGAGAGAGAGAGAGAGCGAGCAGGAGCATTTGGATTTTGAGAGCATTCAAGCTGGGTCCTTATTGCTCTTGGTGTCTTATCGAGGGCCCCTGCAGCAGACTGGGCATTTGAAATGTTAAGCATCCTCTCCGAAAATACTGATCCTTCGTTCAGCTATCCCTAAAAGACTCCCGCTAGGAAATCAGGGGAGGGGTGCGAAGGATTCACCTGAGTTTCTTCTCATCGATTGGGAAAAGGCGTTCGCTTTACTCAGTAAACAGAGCTTTGATGGATTCCCAGGGTCCTTCCAGGAGCTGAGCTGTTAAAATGACATTTTTATTACTGTTCATAAACTCCAAGCTCCTGCTGCTGCTGAGAGATTAGATTTAAGCTGTGGGCAAACTTGCTGGTCCAGTGGCTCAACAAGCAAGGGCATGGGAGGTTCGAGTTTAGAGCTTGCTGCTGTCGGGGCTGTGAGAGGGGGGCTGTAGGTGCAGGTCTGAATGGGAGCAGCGAATGGGAGATTTAGTGAGCCGAGCAGGGGATTTTGGGAGACGAGGGTGAGCCTCAGTCAAAGAGTGTCCCAATAGCGGAGAGGAAAGCTGCAGCCTGAAGTGTGGGTGCGGTTAGCATTCTGGGATGGCCACAGGTGTGGTTTGCAGTGTTGCCATTCATGAGGCTTGTCCTTAGAGCAGTAAGATCTGAGGAAGGCATTAGAGGGGTAAAGACTCTAAGGAAATATACATGCTACTGAGTTTTTTTTCCCTTTTAAAAGGTGAGCTCTGTTCTCAGCCTGGTGATGAAACAGAAAATCCATGTGTCTCTCAGGTATTTCTAAGGGACTAGGTGGTGACTGGCAAAGAATTTATTGGTTGCTGGGATTGTGGTACCGGAGGAGTCTGCCCCCGACCCTCCTCACAACCCCTTCTCTGCCTCTCTTCATCCCACTGTCTTCCTCTTTCTACCTCCCCTTTTTCCCCTCTCTAAGCTTCTACCGGACAAAGTCACCAGCTCAGTTCCTAATCAGGTTGAAGACCACCATCCTGTCGGACAAGGGGGCAGTGTTTAGAAGAGGCAGACCTGTATCTTCATGTCGCTTCTTTTCTGCTCCTGACCTCTCTCCTCACAACTTTCCTCCTCCCACAGGATTGCACTAATACTTCACGTATTTTTAATATCCCAACCATTCCTAAAGCTGATATCCAGGGTATCACAAATGGCTAGGCAACGTCCTTTCAGCTGAAACAGGCAGGATGGAGCAGGTTTAAAAAAAATCCATAATGCGGTGGAAAGAATAACTCTTTCTCTGTCCTTCGCAGCACTGCAGTCTTTCCTTCGCTCCTACACCACCTACCCCAAGACCCTGAAGCACATCTTCCACATCAAATCCCTCCACCTGGGCCATGTGGCCAAGAGCTTTGGACTGAGAGATGCCCCTCAGAACCTCAGCGCCTCCATGGCTGCCAGTCCAGGAAAGAAAACCAAACTGAAACCAAAAAGGTAGGAAGGTGCACCTCTCGGGAGCCAGGGCCACGTCATGAGCATGTTGTTTTGACCCCTGGTTTGAATGTTTTCTACCAATGGGGCTGCAAAATAATGGGAGAAAACTGGGATAAATTTGAGGAACAGAAAGATGGAGATGAGGACGCAAAAACCACCTGCCCCTCTGGGTCCACTCTTTCTACTGTCAACACAATATCCCACCATCCAATCAGTCAGGAGCCTCCCCCAGGAGAGAGAAAAGAAAAAAGCCTGATAGCTTCTGTTTGCAGTGGAAAGAGCTACTTCAAGAGGGCTAGCATTTTTTGTTTGCCCTATTGACTTCTGCTTTAATAACAGCCATCTTCCTCTTTACACGCTGTGCTGGGGTCTGGGGTCATGGAGAGGCCCTAGGGTTTTGAATGACTTGCTACCCAAAAGTCACTCGCGAGACTGTGGGATATAGTGGGTGGCTCTTAGGAAAAGCATTACCTGCTCTGAAAGGAGGGCGACTTGTCTGAGGACTTCATTTGGCCATTAGATAACCTGACAGTGCTACTGAGTGCCCACATTGAGTAGACGATACACTGTGCCTCTGGCCAGTTGTTAAGAGCAGAATTTCTGTGCCAAGCATCTTTGGGGACACATACACACACCCACACACTGTACAGTGACACCACACACACCTGCCTACAAGGCTTAACCGTGTCACATCTGCCCGGCGCTGAGCTGCATTGAGACGTGGCCGTGTGGCATGTTTCCCCATGAATCTGCTAATGAGCATGCAAGGGGGGAGAGGTGCTGTTTCATTTAGCCTGTTAAGGTCTCTGCCTCTCTGATCCATTTCTTTAAATGAACACGCTTCCCCCTTTCAGATTAACAGATTGTATTCCAAAATAAATCCTTGTGTGTTCACTGCGCAAAGCTATTCGCGTCTGCTGCGTGATCCAAAGGGCATTGGCAAAACTGGAGTTGGTCTATGGATGTGTATCAATGTAGCCTGGCCTTCTGTAATGTCACTGCTGCACATGAGACCTGGACAAGAGAGCGACCTTGAAACCTGATGTGGGAGAGTGGGCATGCCACCGAGGTGAACTGCCGGGAAGGTGGACAGATAAGAGAGAGCAGTGTTTGACCAAACGAACCTCATAAATACAAACAGTGCTTCTGGCTCATCTAATGATCCTGAACATAGGACTGGGAGCCAGGAAATTCTGGCTGTGATATTGGTTTGTTTGATTAGGCAAGGTATGTGATTTCTCTGTGCCTTAGTTTTCCGCCATGCTAATTGCAGTGTATACTTAATTAGTTTATTTTCCCAAAGCCTTGATTAGTCCTAAGTGTTATTTTGATTAGCTTTATTACTATCACGGCTGAACTGGGTGTTTGAGTGGGAGCTCAGTCTTTTTTTTTTTAATTACCTTGTATTTTGGCTTCCAGTAAATATCAACTTTTCTGAGTTCAGTTTAGAAGCATGAAGATGCTCCTGTGTGGATCAGCAACTCTGCACCTGGTAGCTCTGAGTTTGCTGCAGTTGTTCTATTTCTATTTTCTGGGCACTTGTTACCTCTGTGAAAACACCATCTCCAGTTGGCCTTTTAAACAGGAAGGTTGTGGTTTGATTGGGAGTTTTTTCTCCCCCCTTTGAAGAATTCATGTGAGGAGGAAATCAACCTGCCAAAAGTGTGTGTGTCGGAGGTTGGAGGGGCGGGCAGGCACGGGGAACGGGATACAAAGGATGCTGTGAACATTCCAGGACACAGTGCAGAACGTGACAAATTTCACAACTTGGAATCTTTCTCTCCCATTGACAGTTATTTGGTCTCCCACCGCTGCCATGCTCTGGCACCTCCTAGAGCAGTGGTTCTCAACTTCTTTACCATTGCGGGCCACATCCAATACTACCTGTATGGCCCTGAGGATGTCACATGGGAGGCATGCTCTGTGCTGATTGGGCTGCAAACAGCCCATGGGCCGCAGGCTGAGAACCACTGTTCCAGAGGCTCACTACCCCCTTCTCCCTCCCTAAGGTATGTTCTCTGGGACACGGCCCTTCACTCTAAATGTTTGCAAGAGATAATAGTTTTCACTTGAACTGATTCCTGAAGAGTATCCCCAAGTCAGCGAGGTGCTTAGAGCAATTGCTTTGCTTTGCATGTTACTTTTTATACAGTGCAAATACTACGTTCCACAATAGACCTTCCCAGGCTGGCCTCTGGGCATTCAGAAGCTGAGACCATGGCTTTCCCACATGTTCAGAAATAATTCTCCTGTAGCATCTCCCCAACCTACTTTAATGTAGTCTCTCCTGGCTGGTATTCTGCGTTGGATGGGGAAGCACTGGCATCGAAGGCATGGTGAGGAGATGAACGCTTTCACTTTCCATTTTTTATGAAGTGACTCTCCTGTTCATTAGCAGTGAGGCTGCATTAGCAAACAGTTATATCCCGGCTCAGCCCCTGCAACCTCCTCCTCTCTGGCCTCGGCAAATGCAGCCTCCTCTCCCCCAGTTGCTGCTGCAGAAAGGGTCTTCCTGGCTCG